CAGAAACAATTAGCGAACCAGGGGAATATGGCAAGGCGTTCATCAGGTACTGTTCATTTTCAAAATTCTATTATTGCTATGGGTATCTCGCGTTAGTGATGTTATTGGCGCAGCTATGCAAGTCATTCGAACCTGAACAAAATACCTCCACTTAGTGAAAGCCGTATTTTCAGTGTCTTATTAACTGCCGAATTCCCTATCTACCTAATTTTTTTTCCCCTCTTCATCCAATTATCTTTTAATTTACTTTATTTATATACATATATATCTGTGTATATATAATCACCTCTGATATCTTTATTAATAACTTTATTCCTCTCGTCTCCTGAATGGATTGTCGCTTCAGCGGAGCGCTTGACAGAAGCATTTTGGCAAGGCTTTAGCCACTTTCAGATTCATTGCTGTATTCCAAGCTTCACTACCCTGTTCGCAATCGTTGCTGCTCTTAAATCACATTGAGACATCATGCCGTTTGGAAAACTGTAATGCATATATACATATATAATGCATATACATATATACGCATAAATTTGCAGTACAGATACAGTTTCGACAGTATTCAACCATTTTGCTCTGCACCGTCAGCATGGCAATGTGAGGAAGACGTTATACGTGAATCCGGATGTGGCGCTGAAGCTGCACTACAAGGAGAAGTGTCCAATTGAATCCGGGAGACAGTGCGAGCAGCTTGAGCGTGTCACGGTGGATGACACGTCAATGGATAAATACGCCGAAGAACTCACACAACGGGTCACTCGTGTGCTCAAAATTTTGAAATTCATTAATTAGTGACATTTCTTATCGATGTGTGTTTGTATTTTATCCAGAAGAGGGTGAGTGAGTCATTTCTTTCAATTTCCCTTCTCATCTCTCTTTCATTCTCACTCCAAAACCGGTCTTATCAAGAATAAAATCGTATATCAGAATAAATAACAGCCAATACCCAAAATAGTGGCATGCACTAATGGATCGCGATAAGGTTTCGGAAACTTCTGGGTGACCAGTTACAGTGGTTTTTCGACCTAACAGTCATACGAAAAGCACCGA